AGCTGGCTGCTGTTGATCTGGAATGTTGTTGCCTGGCTACCAGGATTCCATGTTCAGTTGGACCCATCTTAAAGACGTAGGCTTCCCTCCCCAGTCCCCTTCTTGCTGAGCCCCTTCCTCATACAAGGCCTCCTCAGAGGACTCAATGGCTGCTGAATTGCCCCCTCCCCTCATCACCATGCACACATTTGTTCACACTTAACTGCCGACCTGCTTACCATTGAAGTGATCCTAAGTCATTTTGTGTGTCATGGTCCCCTTGTCACCCTAGTTGTGCGTTGGTCAATGTTTTTGCGAAATTTTATTTTGATCAAATGATGACATAATTTCACAAATTTCACAATATTGTGGTTTAGTGGTGCTAAGTTAAAGTCACAAACACATTCTAACCTTTATATGGGGTAAATTTTCTGTCCTGGTCTATAAAGTTTCTATGAGCTTTGACAATTCAGTTATTTTTTCCACAAGGGGTGATATGTACATTCCTTTCCGTTCGCATTCCCTGCTGTTCACTCTTTCCCACTCATTGCCTGCCTCCCATGGCTGCCATTGAGTTGCTTCGTTCATTTTGATCAATGTCCAGGGCAGCTGATGTGTTCCACTGTTGTATGGTTTTCCTTGATTACCTCTACTTCTATGTCCTTCTCCTAGTTTCCCTTCTATGTGCACATATATACCATATATGTGATCAGCAGCATGGGGTTATTTAGTAGTGATACCACCAGATGAGTCTAGGTCCTTTGTTCCTCAAGTCTTATTAACTTTGTTGTATCACCTTACTTTTTATATTTAATATCCACTTATCAGGGAAACCATGTAGTGTTTGTCTTTTTGCTCTTGGCTTACCTCACTCAACATGATTTATTCTAGTTCCATCCATTTACCTGGCAATGCCATGATTTTGTTCTTTCCAATGTCTTGTCCAATGTGCTTTCCATTGTGTGTAGATACCCCAATTTTTGGATCCATTCATCTGTGGTGAGGCATCTGGGCTGTTTCCATATCCTGGCTAGTGTGAACAGTGCTGCAGTAAACATGGATGTTCATGTGTCCTTGTATCCTGGTTCCTGTTGTTCAGGATAGATGCCTAGGAGTGGTATGGCTGGGTCATAGGGAACGTCAATCTTTAGCTTTCTGAGGACCCTCCAGAGTGCTTTCCAAAGTGGTTGTATACGTATACATTCCCACCAGCAGTGTAATAGGGTTCCTCTTTCTCCCCATGCCCTCCAGCATTGGTCGTTAGCTGACTTCAGGATTTGGGTCATTCTAACTGGGGTAAGGTGGTATCTCCGGTTTGTCTTTATTTGCATTTCCTTTACAACTGGTGGTGACCATTTCCTCATGTGTTTCTTTGCCATTTTTATCTCTTCTTCTGAGAAGTCTGTCTTTTGTTCCCTTGCCCATTTAGTAACTGGTTGTGGGTTGGTTTGGGGAGGGATTAGTTTCTTGTGTTCCCTGTGTATCCTGGATATTACCCCCTTGTCTAATATATTGCTGGTAAGCATTTTTTCCCAGTTATTTGGTTGTCTTGCTAGCTTGTTTGCTATGTTTCTATCTGTGCAGAAACTTTTTATTTTAAGGTAATCCCATTTGTCGAGTCTTTCTCCAGTTTGTTGTGTGTCTTAGTCCTTCTTCCATGTGTATGCCCCAGGGTAATAATCGGTGTCTGTACCCTTAAACACCCATTTTGCTGACTAGGGATGTTGGGATTGTTTGTAGGAAGAAGGACCCCATCTGAAAAGGAACTCTGCAAGGCAAAGTTGACTTGTGCAGATGTGTTGTCTCTCAGCCCCACATCTGGCAAGCATGCTGATGGCAGGCAGGTTGCTCCCTTTGGATCCTTTGTGGGCAGCAGGCCATGCCTCTCTGCCCTGAACCTGGCTAAGCTCAGGTTCTCAATGTGGAAGAGGATGTGGTTGAATTAGAAGGAATATTCCTAAATTTCATGGAGATTGTTGCATCTTGTCTGCATTAAAAATCTCAGAAAGGAAAAGTATATAACTAAAATGCAATCAACCTGGCCAGATCAGAAACTTTTTAGAAAAACCATTCTTACCAGATAGGAAGGAAACAAATTACTTGTATATAAAACATGGTTTTTTCTCATTGTGAAGCTCATTGGCTGGTGTCAACTGTAGCCAATATGAAAACTTCAGGAGAGGAGACTCAACTGAAATGATGGAAAATGAACAATACTCCCAGGTCAGACTTTTAGAAGATACAAACCTATCTTTGAACTTTTGTCCAAATGAATCGATACCAAGTGACAGATGATGTTATATGTACATCGACATGATCATATATTTATTTTAGTATCACATAATTGAGGTTACCCCGCAGCACATACATAATGTATATTTCAAATATGATAAACACAACACTTGTCAACTTTAATGTAGCATATGAAAATACATTGTATGCTGTGTAAAGACTTCTAGATGAAGAAACATTGTTTCTTGCTGACGGTTGACCTTCAGTTTCCTTTAGGATTTTTTTAAGTGTATTGTCACTGGGGCTTGCACTGTGGCCTGGACGCTGTCTGTCCCTGATCTGTTTTTCTCGAGGCAATTGGTCTTCCACGTGAATCACAGAGATCCACTTCTGACTCTGTACTAGTTAATCACAGATAAAAGTCTCCAGGAAGTAACTGGCAGGGCTGGCTTTGATTGGCCATTTTTAGGTCTCACTCTCCTGAATCGCTAGGAGTATAGGCATGAGTCACTGACACCCAGCTCATGTAGTTTTTTGACATACTGTCTTCTAGTACACATCACTAAAGACATCAACATGGAATTTTCTAGGAAGATAAAGTTCCCAGTCTTGTGACATAATCAAATGAATGACTTTCATTAGAGTTTGGTGAAGTTTTATTTTTAAGATGAAACAGTTCTTTTCAGCAGTCATGGGGAAAACAGATTGACTGCAAGGGTACATGTAAGAGTTGTGAATCCTCTGTCATCTTTACCATACAGTAGGCTACCTGTCTTGCTCAGGCATTACGAATCAGGCATCAGTTCTTAGTCTTCAGGCATTTAGAATCTGGATTTCCTAATCTGTGGACTAACACATAGCATAGAGCTGGTGGTGATTCCTCAGGATTTTGCTAGAATTATGGCTTGATTTAGGCACTGACATTCATCTTAATTTGAAGAACAGGACAACTTGAAAATGCATTAGAAACATCCATGGAAGTAGAGAAAGACATTATTATGGAAAGGGCAGAGAGAAACTGTACAATGAGAATAACATTCATTGCAGTTCCTTGGTATTGTGGTGACCTCAGAGAGCACTCACAGTGTGGCTAGTGATTCATTTATTGGCTTGGTAGAAGCTTTGAAAGAAGAAAGTGGAATCTTTTTTTTTTTCTTGCTACCATCAGAGAAATTCAGTTGACGGCCTGTGTGCTGTCCCTACGTATTTTTGCTCAAGGCTAGTGATGGCCTACTTGATCTACAACTCTACTTCTGGCCTTTTGGTTCTTAATTGGAATAAAGCATCTCACAGTCTTTGCTGCCTGACATGCCTTCACACTTTGATGCTCAGGTCTCAGCCTCCTGAGTAGCTAGAGTTACATGCATGTGTCTCAGATGCTAGCATAGGAATCTTTGGTTAACAGTTTTTTCATAGGATATATGTGGAAATCGACAGATTTTCCTTTAGATGAAGTGTTTCCTTTAGTTCCTTTAGTATTCCTTATTGTTACAGAGTTCTAGATTTGTTGGTAGTAATGAACAAATTATAATATTATCTTTAATGTTCACACTTTATTTGGAGTACCATCTTTTACTTACCACCCACTGTGTAGGGTACTTAGGGAACCATTTCCCTTTTTCTTTTACTGTGAGATTTTCTCAGACTTCCCTAGATTTTATGACATTGAAATCCCTATTGTGAGGTTTTATGATGAACTGGAAGTATATTCTGGGGGACAGAAATACCACAGAGTCTGTTGGGTTTACCTATATCATAGCCAAGCCTTCTTTGCTCTTAAGTTTATGTCATATGTCTGGTAATGTTTACTTTCACCAGGAGGTATGTTCTGGAGGACAGCGATATCACAGAGTAAGTAGGGTTTATCTATAACATAGCCAAGCCTTTGTTGCTATGAAATTTTTCTTACATGTGTGGTGATGTTTACTTTCGTCAGGAGTATGAAGTCTGTGTGACCAGATTTGTCTATGGAAAATTCCCATTGTTTACCTTTCCATGGTCCCTTTAAAAACTAGGTCACATGCTTACTAAGTGGTGTGGGAGTGGGCTATGCATGTATGTCAGTGGTAGAGCCAATACTTAGCATGTGCTTATTTGCTTTTTTGTAAGTAGTGAGGCTTGATCTCAGCATCTTGTCCTCTTTCATGGCTTTTCTGCTCAAGGCTGGTGCTCTCCTACTGTAGCCATGCCACCACTACAAATAAATACTGAATTTTTTCAGTTTTGTCATATTGAGAATGTGAAGATGACTGGAGTCATTCTAACAATGGAGTCTTATGTTTTGTTGGTTTGTTTTTGTTTGGCCATTCGTGGGTCTTGAAGTCAGGGCCTGGGCACTGTCCCTGAGTCTCTCTGGCTGAAGGCTAGCACTCCACCGCTTGAGGTACAGTGACACGTGCAGCCTTTTCTGTTCATATGGTACTAAGGAATTAAACCCAGGGCTTTGTGAATGTTAGGCAAGCACTCGATCCCTAAGTCATTTTCCCAGTCTTCCTCTTGAACTTTTTCAAAGTATGTTTGTTCAAGGCATGGCATTTTGCACCTCTAACACTAGCAATTGAGAGAAAGAAATAGAAAAGGTTCAAGTTTGATCCCATGGTGGAGTACATAGTAAATTCCGAGGCATAGTGGCAACATAATGAGTCCCAGGCTCTTAGCATATGTACATCCATATATCTCTCTCCACCCTTCTCTCTGTCAATCTTTGTATCTTGTCTCTCTGTCTGCCTCCCTGCCTGTCTGTCTCTCTGTCTGTGTAATCTATACATTCTGCTCAAGTCCTTATGTCTTAAAAGGGAAGCTGGCTTCTCGCCACATCTCTTCCTCCTCCCTGGTGAGAGCTGAAAACTACCCTGTACATGGTCACTTTTCCTACTGGGACATTTGGCAGGGATTTTGTTCCTATTTGGAAATATGCTCTTAGGTCACCAAAACAGATTTTGAATCAACTAGCATACCTTTAGTTTAGAAAGAGAACAGCTCTATGAAGTCATTTGAGGCAGTTAATAAGCTGGAATGAGCCTTCCAAAAAGTCTCCTGTCTGCATGTGAGCTCTTTGTCTCTTATCAGCACATACTTTCCTAGGTCTCTGTCTCTAGGGGCCATGCTTGACTTCAGAATGGCCACATTGGAGGACCTTGGAAGAAACACATATTCCCCACCTCACTCACAGTGAAGGTTTCATAGCCCTCTGAGAGTTTTTGATGCATACCCTGAGCTGTACACAGTGAGATGGAGCCGTAAGAGTGAGATGGAGCCGTAAGAGTGTACAGGAGATAGCCAAAGCAAATTCAGGAATCTGTTTTGTTCGTTTTATTCATTCATTCATTCATTCATTCACCTATTCATTCATGTTGCCAGTCTTGAACTTCACATCAGGGCTTGGGCAGAATTTCCTAGACTTTTGCTTTGCCAGGTGAGCCACAGCTCCACTTCCTGCCTTTTTTGGGGGATGAATTGGAGATATAGGTTATGGACTTCCCAGGACAGGCTGGCTTTTGAACCACGGTCCTGAGAATTCAACCTTATGAGTATCTATGTTTACCGCTATGCAGTGTGGGTTTTTTTTTGTTTTTTTAAATATGTATACACTCACAAAGATACATACATTTACCAATTCTGGAAGTTGTTCATGTCTTTGGTTCTTTTCCTAAGTCCCTTTGTGCCCAAGGCAAGCACTGTAGCACTTGAACTAATAGTCCACTTCACCATTTTTCTGTGTCCTGTACGGAAGCCTCTCAAGTACTTGTTTACCTGGGTGTCTTTGAACCCCATCCTCACATCTCAGCCACCTGAGTAGCTAGGATTTCAGACATGAGACACTTGAGCCTAGTAGGACTAGTTTTATGAAGCTTCAGAACTACTCATTTGCAGGTAAAAATACTCTGTATGGCTGCATAAGTGATCCTTAGGTTAGATATCATAGAAAGCAGTTTGCACACCCAGTTCCTGGGGCCAAAAGGAAAAAGTGCGCACGTGCACTAAGAGACATGCTGTGGCGCCTGCGCAGATGGCAGTGCAATGTCCCCTAAGTGCTGCAGCCTCGGATTTGCAGGTTGTCTGGTTTGGAGCTGGGACCACAACGCACTGCAGCCGGCAAGACCTTGAGCTCAGCCTGCAGATCCGTGGCTGCTGTTCCTAAAGTGCCCATGGCAGGAGGACTTACCATACTGGTGTTCTGGAGATCCCGATGGGCCTTGCGGGGGGGAGAGGGATTTCGGGAAGCCACTGCCACTCCCGGGAGGCCTGAACATGGAGGTGCCAAGCAGTTCTTTCTTATTGGTTGGCATATCTTTAGAAAGCAGTATTTTGCATAGGGCTATTTTTAATTTAATTTTCGTGTTCACACATGCCGTGTTCCACTGTTAATGGGTCACAACGATCGCAAATGTGTTTTCCTGAAATAGTGTTGATGGTTATGATTTCCTTTTACAAGATTTTTTGTTTTGTTTTGTTTTTTGGTCGGTCGTGGGGCTTCAAAGCTGGGCTTGGGTGCAGTCCCTCAGCTCTTCAGCTTAAGGCTAGTACTCTACTCCTTGAGCCAGGGCTCTACTTCTGATTTTCTGGTGGTTTATTGGAGATAGACTTAGGGTCTTTCCTACCCTGGCTGACTATGAATCAACAAGGTTAGCACTCAACTACTTGAGCCACAGCACCGCTTCCTGCTTTTTCTTTGTATGTGATATTGAGGAATTGAACGCAGGGCTTCATGAATGTGAGCCAAACACTCTACCACTAAACCACATGCCCAGCCCCATACAAATCTTTTTTTGTGTGTGTGTGTCCGGTCTTGTGGCCTGAACTCTGGGCCTGGGCGCTGTCCCTCAGCTCTTCAGCTCAAGGCTAGCGCTCTACCACTGGAGCAATAGCGCCACTTCCGGCTTTTTTCTTTTTGCTTATGTGGTGCTGAGGAATGGAACCCAGGGCCTCAGGCATGCAAGGCAAGCACTTTGCCACTGAGCCACCTTCCCAGCCCCATACAAATCTTTTTTAAAAAGTATTTTGTAATCAAGGTTTGCTATGGGGAGTATAATTTGATAAGTCAGTGGTTACTGACTACAGTTTACTTTTTGAAAATGTCACCTCTTCCTTTAGTTTTCCCCTTTAGTTTGCCCATCCAAACTATGCCTGTCTTAGCAAATTGTGTGAGTATAAAAATCAAAGTGTCTGTGCCCTGGTGGCTCACACTTGTCCTCCTGGCTCTTCAGGAGGCTAAGATCTTAGGATCTATCAAGTTTTCCCAAATGATAAATGAAGAGAGACAAGAAAACAGGGTCAGCATTCTTGGTCCTATGTCTTGTGCTGTAAGACATCGTGTGTGCCCAAACATCGGGGCCCCATCTCGGCGTATAGCTGCATCTCTCTTCTGCTGGGTTCCTTGCTATACTCTGGTCATTCACTGACCACTGTGAGTCCAGCAGCTTCTGCCTCACATCCTGCAGTTCACATGTTCTTCTTGGGACCCATGTGACCTATCAGGAGAGTCCCAGTGTACTTACACCTTATGTTAGGGTATGAAATGGACAATCGATTTAGCACTCCAAAAGTGCACCTCTTAGAAAGAAAAAACAGTGATATTTTATTAAAATCAACAATGAAAATAATGACCAACAATGAAAAAGATACAAAAACTAAAACACGTTTCCCTTGATAAAGGGAAGGAAGCTGTTCTGAGGTGGACAAAAGAAAGTCTACCAGTGACTAAAGGGCCACAGGAATCTCAGCCAGAGAGGCCCCATGGATACTATGCTATCCTTCCCAAGTACAGATAGGGGTTTTGACAGAGTTTAGGTTGTGCCAGGTGAACATCCACTGCCAATGACAGGAATGTTACCTCCTGCTTTTATAACTGGGTGTTTTGTATTTCAGGGGAGTGACCAGAACCAGCTGGAAGCCCACAGGAGGCAGCAGGTGTTGTGCTTCTTACACAGAAGACACGTACTGCACTACCACGATGTGGGGCACGGAGTCCTGTGGAGGCACCAGATCTTCTTCTGGGGTTGGTGAAGCTGTTGATTCCAGTACCACATCTGCTGCCATCATGGATGAATCCTCTGCCTTGATCTCAGGAGCAGGTGCTGTGTGCAGCCCCAAATCTAAGGATGGAAATGTATGCACTGTTAATGGAGGGAGCTCTAGAAGAATCCCCGTCACAGGACATCTTCCAGACTGGGTTTCACTAGGGTAACCTGGCCAATCACCATCCTGGGATTCTCATCCCATTGGACACCAGTGTCCATCCCTACTCCCATGTTCTCAGTTATCTACCTGAAGACTCCTCTGTCTTTTTGTCTGCCCCCTTGTTCTCCTGCTCCTTCAGTTGGGTGAGGAGGAGGTGTCCACGGCCTGCTAGCTCTGAGGAGGGCATGTGGAGCAGCACGTAGGCCATCAGCTTACTCAGGTTGGCCAGGTCCTTGGACTGGCAGAAATCCTCAGGGTACTTGTCCAGCCACATGGCAAGCATGGAACACAGGGTTCTGTGTGCAGTTGGATAGAAAGCAGAGTGAGAGCTGCTGTCTCCTTCCTGAGCTCTTGCACAGGCCCTTGCTGGGAGAGCTCCCATGCAGACACTGCCCACCTCACAGACAGACTTGCATGTTGGGAAGTGGGAGGAGTCCCACGTGAGGAGAAGGATCTCTACAGTTGCCCTGAGGCCCTGCTAGGATTGGATTGTATAGCATTGGTTCTCCATGGGTCTTGGAGCCCACATTTCCCCGCTCATCCCTAGTAGACCAGGATGTTTCACTCATTTCTTTCCCATGCCTTTAGATGAAGCCTCAGTCTTGATCACAAGTGAGGAGCTAAGTGGCATTTCCTACCTTGTAGCCCAAGCCCTAACATTTATCCCTTCTGCTTGTCCCAGATTCCACTCACTTCTTTACTTCTTCATCCTCTTCACAGTTCTGATGGAAATGTGAATGTCTGTGGGAAGAGAGGAGGAAGTCATGGTTTCAGTGTCCTCTATTTCTGACCTCCCTGGTGGTCTATTTAGACTGGTAAGTCCAGGTGGATGATGGGGACATTTACTGCACAGTTTCTGGAATTTTTTTTTATTTTTTTTTGTCAGTCATGGCGCTTGATCTCTGGCCTTGGGCGCTGTCCCTGAGCTCTTCAGCTCAAGGCCAGTGCTGTACCAGTTGAAGTATAGCGCCACTTCCGGTTTTCTAGTGGTTTATTGGAGATAGGAGGCTCAAGGTCTTTCCTGCCCTGGCTAGCTTTGATCAGCGATCCTCAGGTCTCAGCCCACCGAGTACCTAGGATTACAGGCGTGAGCCACCAGTGCCTGGCCCCGTTCCTGGAATTTTAAAATGTAGGGGCTTGGAATGTGCCTCTCCAAAGTACAGGGTTCATATGTTTGTGCAGTGATTCATTCCTGATGGCTTTCTTGGAATTGTTTTGGGAGCCTTGTTAACTTAGGCGAAACATTTCAGAGGGCTTCAAATACAGGTTTCCATAGTGTGAGACCTTCATTTAAGGAAGTAAAATGATCGCTCCAAAGAGCCCCTGATGGTGAGCATCCCACACTTGAGTGGAACAAGCTTGGGAAGGTGCTGCCTGGTCTCAGCCCACTTTTGGTTGTGAAGATCAGTTTGAAGCAAAGAGAGTACAGAAGTTTCTAGCTCTAGCCGGGAGGGTGGCGACATGACTTTGGTTTGGATGGGGCATTCACCTGTTGAACAGAAGGTCCAACACTTGCCCTGTGGTGGTGAACCTCCTATAAGAAAGCAGGAAGGCTGGCACGAAGAAGGGCTCCTCCTTCTGGTGTTGAGGAACCAGGAGGTTTACCATCTTCTCCAGCATGTCTGGCTCCAGGGTGCTCAGTGTATGGGGCACGTCCTGGGCTGGGACTGGCTCCTTTTCCTCCTGAGGTGGGATCAGAGGAGGTAATTGAGAGGTGAGATGGTAGGACCCTTGAAAAATGGACTCAGTGTGATCAAGTGAAGTGAAAAGTGCACAGAATTACAGTGAACAGGACCCCTGGGAATTGAGGAGGGCTCTAGGGTTGGCTGGGATGACAGTGAGATAAATTACCTGGGCAGAGTTCATTTGCTGTGGCGCAGCATTTGTGCCATTTGTGTGCCTTTGGAAGAATTCCCTGAGGCGCCAGAGTTGGGGGTGAGCCCTGACCCAGCGACCACTGTGGGATCTCCTGAGACCTGAGTCCCGGGATCTTGGCAGACAGCAGGAGAACATCCTCCTTCTTCAAGTTTGCTAGCCAAGTGAGCTGGCTGCTGTTGATCTGGAATGTTGTTGCCTGGCTACCAGGATTCCATGTTCAGTTGGCCCCATCTTAAAGACGTAGGCTTCCCTCCCCAGTTCCCTTCTTGCTGAGCCCCTTCCTCATACGAGGCCTCCTCAGAGGACTCAATGGCTGCTGAATTGCCCCCTCCCCTCATCACCATGCACACATTTGTTCACACTTAACTGCCGACCTTGTCCAGTCTCATCATCCTCTGTGAGAACTTGCTATAGGCAGGGTTTCAGTTAGAAGGAGACAGGGTTTCAGTTAAAAGCAGACAGAGCCCTGCTTGCTTACCATTGAAGTGATCCTAAGTCATTTTGTGTGTCGTGGTCCCTTTGTCACCTCAGTTGTGCATTGGTCCTTGTTCCATGTTTCTGCCCCAGGATATTATTAGGTGTCTGTTCCCTTAAACACCCATTTCTCCTGACTTGAGATGTTTGGGTTAAATGTAGGAATGAGGACCCCAACTGGAATGGAACTCAGCATGGCAATGTTGATTTGTGTCGATGGCTGTGCCCTCCACCCCAAGTTTGGCAAGCATGCAAAGAGCAGGCAAGCTGCTCCCTTTAAATCTCTAACACAGCAGCCCCTGCCTTTTTGCCCTGAACCTGGCTGAGCTCAGGTTTTCAGTGTGGAAGAGGATGTGTTTGAATTAAGAGGATATTCCTCAATTTCCAGGATATTGTTGTAGACTGTCTGCATTAAAAATCCCAGGAAGAAGTTTACACTCCTACTAACAATGCAGTAAGGTTCTCTTCTGTCCACATCCCCTCCAGCATCTTTTGTGATGAGCATTCTTGATTATCGCCATTCTAACTGTGGTAAGGTTGTATTTCAATGTGGTTTTGCTTTGTATTTCTTTTGTGGCTAGGGAGGTTGAACATTTCTTTATTTTTCTATTGGCCGTCCTACTTTCCTCTTCAAGAAATTTCTATTTTATGTCTTTATCTCACTTATTTATTGGACAGTTGTTTCTTTGAGGATTTGTGGTTTGGGGATGTGATTTTTTGAGTTCCGGGTATATTTTAGATATGAGACTCTTGTCTGTTGTATGGCTAGTGAAGATCTTCTCCCAGCAAGATCTATTGATCTTCCTAGCTATGTCCTTTGCCATGCAGAAGCTCTGCAATTTCATGCCATCCCATTTGCCCAACCTTTCTTTGATTTGTTGTGTTTATGGGTCTGTTATAAGAAAATTTCAGCCTGTGCCAAAGAGTCCTAGAGTTTCTCCTATTCCATCCTTTAATGTTTTCAGAGTGCCTGCTTTGACTCTGAGGTCTTTTGTCCATTTGGTGTTGATTGTGGTACAGGGTGATCTATAAGGATCTAGCTGTAGTTTTCTACAAGTGATTGACTAATTTTGCCAGCACCATTTACAGTAGAGGCTGTCTTTCTTCCATTCTATTTTTTTAGCTCCTCTATTGAAGATTAGATGGCTGTAGGTCTGTGGGTTCATTCCTGGGTTTTCAGTTCTATTCCATTGGTCCTGAGGTCTGTTCTTATGCCAGTACCAAGCTGTTTTGATTAGTACAGGTTTGTAGTAGAGTTTGAAATTTGGTATTGATATTCTTGCAGCACTGTTCTTTCTGGTAAGTATCATTTTTTGCTATTCAGGGTCTTTTATTATCCCATATGAATTTTTGAATTGCCACTTCTATTTCCTTGAAGAATGAGGTTGGAATATTGATAGGTATCGCATTGAATTTGTAGATAGCCTTGGTAAGTATTGCCATTTTCACAATGTTGATCCTTCCAATCAGGAGCATGGGAGGGTTTTCCACTTGCTAAGTTCTGTTTTGAGGTTTCCTCAAAAGACTCCACATAGAGCTCCGCTATGACCCAGCAATCCCACTTTTGGGCATTTACCCAAATGAACACAAACAAGACCCTACTAAAGCTACCAGAACAACTGTGTTTATTGCAGCATTGTTCACCATAGCTACGGTGTGGAACCAACCTAGTTGCCCCTCATTAGATGAATAGATCAAGAAAATGTGGTATATATACACAATGGAATTCTATGCTTCCATCAGAAAGAATGACATTTCCCCATTTGTTAGGGAATGGAGAGACTTGGAAAAAATTATATTAGGTGAAGTAAGCCAGGCCCAAGTAAACATAGGTCCCATGATTTCCCTTATTTGCAATAACTAGTATATGTCTGAGACAAGCAGAAATGGTCAGATAAGTTGATGTTAGGCAAAATGAACCCCAAGGTAAGGATATAAATTTTTTGTTTCTTATTATTGTCTCTAACATATACATAAGATGATTTCTTTGTTGCTTTGTATGTCCCTCCCCCACGGTATAACCCCTGTTCACTGTATTTGATGATGGTATGATTTGTGGTGGGGAAGGACAGAAACAAATCCTTTAAATAGGGATACAGGTGGACCCATTGTAACAATGAGATGTACAAGACGTTATGTGGAAAAACGAACTTTCCCACTTTGGCCAGGGGTAGGAGTGGGGTGTGTGTGTGGGGGGAATGGGGGAGATGGGAAGGGATGGGAAACGGAAACAAAGTCGGAGGCAATAATGCTTGATAAGAAATGTTCTCATTACCTTTCCCATGGAATTGTAACCCCTCTGTATGTTATTTTCACAATAAAAAATTAGGGAAAAAAAGAACCAGGAAAGAAAAGAATGTAACTAAAATGCAGTCAAGAAGGGCCAAGCCACCTGTCCAGATGAGAAACTTTTAAGAAAGACAATTCTATGATGATAGGAAGGAAGCAAATTACTTGTATAGAAAAGTTCATTTTCTCTCAGTATGAAGCTCATTGGCTGGTCTGAACTGTAGCCAATTTAAAACTTAAGGGACAAAAACCTAAGGAAATGATGGAAAACAAGACTTGCAAGTTAGAGTTTTAGAAAAATAGAAACCTATTTCTTTACATGTGTCCAAATGAATGCATACCAAGTTAAAATTCACCTTGTACCTACATCTACATGATCACATGATTTATTTGAGGATTGCACAATTGAGGTTACCACTTAACACATACATAATATATATATGTCAAATGTGAAATACAGCTTTTTTTTGAACTTTATTTTAGCATATGAAAATACATTGTATGCAGTGTACAGAATCCTAGGGGAAAAATACTGTTTCTTAATTTATTTTATTTTTTATTGTGAAAATAGTGTATATAGGGGTTACAATTACATGGGCAAGATAATGAGTACATTTCTTATCAAGCATTGTAGCTGCCTCCTTTGTTTCCCCTTCCCATCCCTTCCCAGCCTCCCTCACCCACCCAATTCTCCCACCCCCCCCAAGCACTGTTTCTTTATGTGTTATGTTGGCACTGGGACTTGGTACTTGTATTGTGTCTTGTCCCTGTTTTTTTTTTTTTTTTGGTCAGTAGCGTGGTCTGAACTCTGGGCTTGGGCGCTGTCCCTCAGCTCTTCAGCTCAAGGCAAACGCTCTACCACTTGAGCCACAATGCCACTTCTGGTTTTCTAGTGGTTTATTGGAGATAGAAGTCTCATGATTTCCTGCCCGGGCTGGCTTTGAACCACGATCCTCAGATCTCAGCCTCCTGAGTAGTTAGGACTACAGGTGTGAGCCACCGGTGCCCAACTTGGTTTGCTTTTCTTGAGGTGATTTCTCTTCCACTTGAGTCACAGATCTACTTCTGACTTTCTACTATTTCACTAGAGATAAATGTCTTCAGGAATTAACTGGCTGGGGGGGGGACCTTTGAACCACAAATTATAGGTCTCACTGTCTGGAGTAGCTAGTAGTATAGGCATGGGTCATTGACACCCAGCGTATTTAGTTTTTTTGATATACTGTCTTGACATAGTGTTTCCTAGTGCACATCACTAAAGACATTAACATGTCACATGCTTCTCAAGTTGTGTGAGAGTGAGCTGTACATTTATCTCAGTGATTCAGCAAATACCTACCATGTGCTTCCTTGTTTCAGTGTAGTTAGGGGCTTGATCTCAGCACCTTGTCATCTTTCATGGCTTTTTGGCTCAAGGCTGGTGCTCTCCTACTTGAGCCACACCACCTTCTACAAATACTGGTTTCTTCAGTTTTGTCACATTGGCAATAAGAACACGGCTGGAGCCATTCTAACAATGGAGTTTTATTTTTGTTTTTTTGGACTTTTTCTGAGTCATTTTCTGATTTGTCTCAAGTACTTGTTTGCTGGTTCGCTTTGAACCCCATCTTCACATCTCAGCCACCCTGAGCAGCTAGGATTACAGACCTGAGCCACCTGGGCCAGGTAGGACTGTTTTTATGAAGCTACAGAAACACTCATTTGCAGGTAAAAATACACTGTAGGTCTGCCTAATAAATACCTACAGGAATCAGTTTGCACACCCAGTTCCGGGGCAAAAACTGAAACAGTGCGCCTGCGCATTAAGAGATGTTGTGTGGCGCCTGCGCACATGGCAGTGCGATGTCCACGCCTCAGCCGGAAAGCCCGGGACTGGACAAGGTGGGCCGTGACGGGGTCTCTCAGTCTGCGGATCCGTGGCTGTTGCTCCTGCGGTGCCATGGCGGGAGGACTTCCGTACGGGCGTGGCCGTGGGGTCTGGGGGCCGAGGTCTGTGTTCCGGAGACCCCGATGGGCCTCGCGGGGGCTCGGGAGGCCGCCCCGCTGCCCGCCCCGCCATCCAGGCGTGTTGGCGGAGGCCGCCGGGCCTGGGTCGGAGCGGACGCTGGGCGAGGCGGGGCCGCGGCCGCGCAGGCGCTGCTGGTTGCCGCGGTGCGGGGCGCGGGGTCCCGTGAGGACCTGCGGGGGACGCAGCGCGGGGCTGCCTGGCTCCGGGGCCTGGCTGCGGGAAGGTGGGGCGGCCGGGCTCAAGGGGAAAGACAGAGCTGGGGTGGCCAGGGGCCGGTGTGCGGTTACCGCACGGAGCGGGCGGATTTGGCTGCGGTGGGTCTGCTTTTTGGGAGGCGGCCGGGGTTCATGTTGACCTGGGCGTGGGGCTCTCGGGGCTGCAGAGCGGGCTTCGGGTTATCTAAGGTGGTGTTAGGGCGGTGTGGGGGGTCAGGTGGGGCCCTGGGGGCCGTTGGGTGTCGGAAGGCCCGTGGTGTGCGGCGGCAAATGGGGGAAGCACGGATGGGGTGGGCGGAGGCGCGGTTTAGGCTCCTAGCTGCTGTTCTGCCACTTGGACAGAGCTCTGCTTGTGGCCTTTGGTTGGTTTATTGGAGATATGTATCCTCAGGACTCCACCGTCTGAGTACCGCAGACCACAGGCCCGCGTCACCGGCATCCCGGCTAACCTTTATTTGCAAGTATAGATTCAGGATGTTTTGTTTTCTTATATTCCCTCACAGATTTTGGAATGAACTTCTCAAATGCAGACCCAGAAGCCAAGAACAGTAGCTCATGACTAATCCTAGCTACTAGAATGCTGAGATCTGGGGATCACAGTCCAAAGCCATCCCTGGCAAGAAAGAAAGTCCGTAAGATTCTTAGCACCAGTGAACCACCAAGAGGCAGAAATAGAATTGTGGCTAAAACAGGGACAGCATGCAGGCCTTGAGTTCAGGCTCCAGGATTATAGAAAAAAATTGGAACGAGATTATTCTGTATATTTTTTTTTTCAATTGAACAGATTGGTTTTCCATTTACCAGGTCTACTTGCCTTTTGTTAATTCCTAGTGATTGTGATATATATACATACATATACATATATATCTATATATATAGATAGATAAATAGATAGATAGATAGATATGTACAAAAACATTTTTAGTGGTGGTCCTGGTGTTTGAACTGAGGGCCTATGTGTTGTCCTTAAACATTTGTGCCTTAAGAGTTGCTCTTTCATTTGAGTGACAGCTCTACTTCTAGCTTTTTGTTGATAAATTGGAGATAAGAGTTGTACAGACTTAGCTGCCAGGACTGGAGGCCAGGGGGCTCAGATATGCCTCCTGAGTATCGAGGATTACAGGCACCTCATTGTTAAGAAAAAAAATCACAAGCCGGAAGTGGTGCTATGGCTCAAGTGGTAGAGCGCTAGCCTTGAGCTGAAGAGCTGAGGGACAGCGCCTAGGCCCAGAGTTCATGCCCACGACCGGACCTCCCCCCCAAAAAAAAAGAAAAAAAATCACAAAAATATTTCACTTGTTAATTTTTTGTTAAGGAAAAGAAAATTTCACTTATGTTTCACAACTTGTATCTGCACATATATAGTCACACATCCGTGTGTTTGTGTATGTGTATGTGTGTATGATCTGGCTGTATGGGGGACTCAGGGCTTTCCATATTCTATCCAGGTGCTCTAAGAGAAGAACCATGCATTCATTCAGCAGTTAACTCCAAGTGAGGTTTGGAGGCAGGGAAGAAGGTGGATGGTGGCTAAGCAGCAGCAGAAGAAATTGTTCTGGTCTGCTCTGCTTGGAAAAATGTGTAGTCATCATGTTGATTTGGCTTTTGTTTTGTCACCAAAGAGAGATGTTTTACATTGTCCCTTCTTTTTCAGCTTTGTTCTGCTTTTTCAAACAGAAATTTGTACCTATAGTTTTAATGATGTTCCTTATAAAATACAGATTTAGGCATTATTCCTAGTTTTCAATTTTTTTGGGCGGGGGTCTTTGTTTCTGCCTTTATTAAGAGTTCATTAGCTTTTATACAAAACCAAATCGAACCAGGCTTCAGTAGCTCCCTCCTGTAATTCTAGATACTTTGGAGGCTGAGATCTGAAGTTCATGGTTCAAACCCAGTCTGAGCAGTAAAGTCTGTCAGACTGTTATCTCCAGTAATCATCAGAAAATTCTGGAAATGGAGCTGTGGCTCAAGTGATACAATCCCAGCCTTGAGCCAAAAATCCCTGATTTCAAGCCCCAAGACTGGCACTGTAAAAAAAAAAAAAGGTAAATCTTCTTTTGAGTAACTGTAAATAATCTTATCCCGTCTCCTCATTCTGGATCTAGAAATTGAGCTATTTTACATTCATCAGCTCCATGTAATATGCCTTTGTAAGCAACAAAAAGCAGTTTGGTATGGCTTCTAGTTTTTTTGTTTTTTTTTTGGCTGATCCTAGGGCTTGAACTCAGGGCCTGGGTGCTGTCCCTGAGCTCCTTTTTTTGATCAAGGCTAGATCTTAATACTTGAGCCACAGCTCCCTTCTAGGTTTTTCTGTGATTAATTGGAGATAAGAATCTCAGTGACTTCCTTGCCCTGACTGGCTTCCAAACTTGATCCTCAGATCTCAGCCTCCTCAGGAGCAAAGAATACAGGGGTGAGCCACCGATGCCCAGCTTCTAGGTTCATACACAAATATAAATAAGTTTTAAATAGTCTCCTATTTTCTCTGTGATTCTCAACTTGCTGTTACAAAGGAATTTAGAGTGCAAATCCCATCCCCATTTTTTGTGCTGGACTTGGGGCTTGAACTCAGGTCCTAGGTACTGTCTTTGAGCGTTTTTTTAACAATTTATTATTATCTTTAAATAGTTGTACAAAGAAGTTCCCACTGTATAAAACAGTATATGAATACAAGGTGTCTCACAACATTGTCACCCATCGCTCCTAACCCATCCCTTCTCTCACTTTTCTTTTTTCTTTTTAAATTGAGATTGTGATTACATAAATTTTACAGTATTGTGGAATATTGATACTTAGTCAAAAATCACAAATGCATTTTAACCTTCACAAGGCAAATTGTCATTATCATGGTCTATCAAGTTTGTAAATATTATGAGCTTTGAGAGTACAATTATTTCTTCCACATCAGGTGATGTTTACATCTCTTTCCTTTTGCTTAGTGTAAGCTGTTCCCTCTTTCCTTCTCATTCCTCCCTTCACATTATTGTCTTTGTTTTTGAGCTTTTTGCTTAAGGCCAGATCTCTACCACTTGACTACAGCTCCACTTCTTTGGTAGTTAATTGGATATAAAAGGCTCACAAGGCTTTCCTGTCTGGGCTGGCGTTGAATCTTGATCTTCAGATTCCAGTCTCCTGAGTATCTAAAGTTAAGTCAAAATCCCTTGAGCCTGCCTGCTACTTCAGCAGAATTGTCTGCACAGTTTTAGTGTCCTTGTCTTACTTAAATAAAAATAGTATACATCTCTTCTTATTCATCCTTACCCTTAACATACAGGACACTGTTTACCATATTCTCTGATAGAGATTCTTTTTGAACATCTGTGTGTGTGGTGTTTTCCTTATATTACTATTTTTCTTTTGCTGAGGTTTGAACTCAGAGCCTCCTGCTTTATCAGTTTACTTGAATATATGCAGCCGTGTTTTTTTCTGGTTATTTTTGAGGTTATGTCTCCTTTTTTTCTCAGGCTATCTTCAAAGCTTGGTCTTTCTATATTCTAGCCTCCTGAGTGGCTTGTATTATATAAGTGAGGAACTGGATCCCATCTGACCAGAATGAAATTTCAGAATAGGAAAAGTTGAAGTAAAAGTTAAACAAACTTAATACTTTGTTCTATAATTTCACTGACTTGGGACACAGAGAATTTTCATTTTAAACAAAAAAAATCTGGAAGGGCATTGGTGGGTCATGTCTGTAATCCTAGCTACTGAGGAGGTTGAGATCTGAAGATCATGGTTCAGAGACAGCCAGGGCAGGAAAGCCTATGAGACTCTTATCTCTAATTATACACCAGAAAACTGGAGGCAGAACTGTGGGTCAATGTTTCAGGGTGCTATCCTTGAGCATAAAACCTCAGCGGTAGCTCCCAGGCCCATGGACAACCAGCAGAAGAAAAACAATTCTTGCCAGGAGCTGGGGTTTCATGCCTATAATCTTAGCTACTCAGAAGGATAAGACATGAGGATTCAGGTCCCAGCCATCTTGGGCATAAAACAATGTGGGTCTCTTAGCACCAACAAACTACTCAGAAAAGCCAGAATTGGTGCTATGGCTCAAGTGGTAGAGCACTAGCCTTGAGCAGAAAGAAGTAGTAACATCACAACTTCGAATAAAAAAAAGTGAAATTTTATTAAACCAACAATTAAAATAACAATGCTCAAAAGAACCAGAAAAGGTAAAACAGATTATTTTTCCCCAGGAAAGGGAAGAAGGGGAAAGGGGCTGCTGTCAGGTGGACAGTTGGAGGTCCATCAGTGACCCAACCTCCATAGAAAACAGCTATGTGCAAGAGATGCACTGTGGGTACTTTCCTGTCCTTGGCAAATACAGCTGGGTTGATTTGACAGAGTTTAGGCAGCTCAGGTGAACATCCACTGTCAATGACAGGAATGTTACCTCTGCCATTATAACTGTGTGTTTGTATTTCAGGTGGGTGACCGGAACCAGCTGGAGGCCCACAAGAGGCAGCAGGTGTTGTGCTTCTTACACAGAACACACGTACTGCACTACCATGATGTGGGGCACGGAGTTCTGTGGAGGCACCAGATCTTCTTTAGCTTGTAATGCCACGGATTCCACTACCACATCTGCTGCCATCATGGATGAATCCTCTGCCTTGATCTCAGGAGCAGGTGCTGTGTGCAGTCCCATATCTAAGGATGCAGATAGATGGAGTTGAAGTTGAGGTGGGACTGAAACTTCCAGGAAAGTCTAGTTGTTGATAATGAGTGCCTATGCCTGAGAAATTCCATACAGAGAGTAGAGGCTGTCTGACATAGAATAGCCACCACAGGACACCTTCCCTGACTAGATTTTATTAATGTTACTGGCCAATCACCAGCCTGGGATTCTCATCCCATGGGGGCCAGTGTTCTCAAGTACCTACTTTAGGAATCCTCTGTCTTTTTGTCTATCCCCTTGGTCTCCTGCTTCTCCAGCTGGGTGAGGAGGAGGTGCATACAGACTGCCAGGTCTGAGGAGGGCATGTGGAGCAGCATGTAAGACATCAGCTTATTCAGGCTGGCCAGGTTTTTGGTCTGGCAGAAATCCTCAGGGTACCTGTCCAGCCACATGGCCAGCTTGGAACTCAGGGTGCTATGTGCAGCTACCATAGAAAATTCCATTTTCTGAACACATAAGGTTTTTAATGTTCCACCAGCAAAGACACTTGCAGCCAGAGAAGAATTACCCCTTCACCACACAGTGCATACCCCACCATGCCAACATGAAGAAAGTAGAGGAAGTAGAGAGGATAAAAGAGGGATATACTAGAGTATCTCTCCAGCTAGGGAAGTTGCCTCACTTTTAAGGGAGTTAAAGATGGATGACAAGAAGGTTCCAGAAGGCTGAATAAATAACAGAAGCATTTTTATTCTTTTTTTAAAATCTGGTATTTGTGTTTGGTTATCTAAACTTTTCTGTGACCACCAGGTTCTCAATTGGCTGGAATAGGATTTGGCACAAGGAGTTGTGGAAAAAGTGTGAGTAGATTTCAAACTAAGGGCAGCATAATCCAGGATACTGTGATCGCATCTATGGAAATCTGGCATTCACGGTCATTCTTCTGCAGGCTCACAGATGCCCAGACACAAACAAAAAGAATGCCAGAGGGAGCCAAGAGATGAGCCACCACCAACACTCCTCACATCCCCCTAGGGGATGCCCTTTCTTCTACCCTAAGTGAGAGCAGCAGTCCTTAGAAGTTGTAGAACCTTCAAAATGGCTCGGTGCGGTGGAGCATCTTTCTGTTCACC